ATCCCCGTCCCACCAAACAGACTCGCCCTTTCAGCCATGGGGCCATTATAATGTGACGGTTAATCCTACTATTCGTTGGTAAAAGAGTTGGCGGTTGGGCTACTCTAGTACTTCTAGTCTTTCACCGCTAAATGAAGGACGGATAGCGCAGATATCCTTCGTGTAGCTTTGTGCGAAATTCAAACCAATTTAGGAACTGACAAATCATTTACAGGAGCCAAAGATCCAATCATATAGTGGAATTGACCTTGTATACGGAAGCAGGTATTCCAATTATTCCAACGAGAGACTGTTGGCTAATGGCAACTCATAGATATCGTACTGAAAATACAATTGAATTTAGGAATGTTGACCAAAATGTGCTTGGATTTAGATGACTCCTCCATGAATAAGTCAAGTATAAAATCAGGAGCAACTGGCAAACCACTGAACTTCACTTTGCCATTCATACAACACATGAAACAGTAGGACTGAACAGTAGTAGCAGGAGAGACACATTTCTGGATCATAGTTTAAATCTGCAAAACTTGAAACATTCTTTTGAGCTTGACAGTCTAAGGAATTAATAGCTTGTTCATTTCTTTTTCAGTCAGGTTCGTTACGAGATGAACGGTGTACTTCTCTGTCACGAAATTGCTCCTGACTTCTTCTAACGTCATCTTAGCGAACAATTTGATGTGCTTCTGTATTTCAGGTTTGTTCCTGACTTTTTGTCAGTGGATTCTTGCTCTTTTTCTCTAACTCGCATCCTGACGTTTCATTTTCTTTCTAAAAGTTTCAGACTTCTTCCATGATAAGTCACTTTTCCGTTTGGCATCGTGATTTTCGATGTTTTTCATCACTTTATACTCATGATGAAGTAAAAAATAATTGTGTAATTTACGAAGATTGAGTTACTACAAAATTCCTGCAAATTTGTATGTAATGAACTCCATACGAAGGACATGCGACTTCTTTGGTCACAGAACAATTCAATTCATAGAGTATGCTTGGATTCTCCAGCAGAAAAGTAACTTTTTCTTCTGAAAAAGCACAATGATTCTCCACAACGAAAACTCATTTTTAAATTCTGCATTGAACTCATTTTACCACAACTTCAGAAGTTTTATTAAAAATAATAATTTCGTTGATAATAATAATAAATGTACAAAATAATGTACATTATTAAAAACGAAAGAAGTACCATTAAGAAAGCGATTTTGGAAATTTTTTTATAAAATAAGGTACTATTACTTTTTAAATTCTAGCGAGAGTTTATTGTATAACATTTTTCATCTGGGTTTGATATAAAGCTGTTATTGACTTATTTCTTTTAAATAAAGGTGAGCAAATGCACTAAATAACCGTTTTATTTACTTTGTTAGGAACTTACCCTTATGATGTTGAAAAAGTATGAAAAGTTTTATCGAATTCGGACTTAAACTGTCGGAGGAGTTTTGCGTACAGACGGACATTAGTCTCTTATATATATATAGATAATACATAAAATAATTATATTTATATATACAAAATTAAATAATTATATTTATATATATACAAAACTCAATAATTATATTTATATATACAAAACTAAATAATTATATTTATATATACAAAACTAAATAATTATATTTATATATATACAAAACTCAGTAATTATATTTATATACAAAACTAAATAATTATACAAAATATAATTATATACAATATACAAATGATCATAGTTTATATTTTCTATTAAAATGTAGCAAGTAGCGCTTTGCACAAACAAAAAATGAATTTTCAAATGTCGATCCACTAGTCGCTTCTAGAAACATAGGTGCGATACGTAGCGCGCACTACGCACAGCTCTAATGTTCCTACTATTGGTCAACGGTGATAAATCAGCCTGACAGTTTTACGAAAATGTACATCTTTTGTATTTAATCTGAAATACAGGTGAATGTATCTGTTATATATTTGTATGCGCATGTGTGCTGAAGAAACTTAGACGCGTGTTCGTGGTAGATATATCAATTAATAATTGTGGTTTGTTAAATAAGAACAAGATGAAGAGTTTCCTTGGTCATGTAACTTTCTTAATTTTTGGAATCATATTTGAGTTGCACGCGCACATTGAGTAAGAATATAATTTCATTAACTTTTTTTGTAAATAACTGATATAATTTATCGAAATTACTTTAATCATCAATACTTATACCCAGTGCCGGATCTAGGCATAAGGTAAACAAGCTACAGCTTAGGGCCTCACAAAATTTCAGTATTTTTTTTTTTTTGCTTTTAAAATTTCATTTTTCACTTTAAATACCTTGCTATTAAATTAAAAGGCATATATATATGTTTTTAATTTTTTTGTGGCGACCCAAGGACCTGTTTTGGTACCCACCTTTGTGAGACTTTCTGGTGTAACTTTCTAACAAGGGGCCTACAAGCTTTATATAGCTTAGAGCCTCACCAAGTCTAAATCTGGCACTGCTTATACCAGTAGATGGCCTGTAGTATTTCACACTAATTTGTACTCTTTGCAACATAAATAATGCTTTGAGCTGTTGGTGTCGCAGCAGTTATTGCACAGAATCTAAAGCTTACGTTTTTTAATTATCAGTTTTTCATAGATAAAGTAATATTGTTTTTGTTCTGATGTATAATATTATTTACAAAAGTTTGTATTATGAAAGGAATGTGTCAGATCTATATTTTTAATTTTAGATCATATTTTTATTACTTGATTTTCATATCTCAAATAACTAAATGTAGATAAGTCTTCGAAATTAATAGGTGCAACTAATTTTTGTCTCATTAACTGCTCTTAAACGCTTCATGTATTAGAGGGAATACATGAAAGAGTAGCTTAAGTAACGCAGTATATGTAAATATTATATATTCGTGTAACTAAGTTTGTGTGCCTCCTTAACATGAGACTTTGAATAAGGGTCTACTACACAAGAAAGTAAGTGAATTCATGACTTTTCTTTGGTGAGATGGTTCACCTATACAACGGGCATGTTTGAAAGTTTGTAATAATCTAAGTTGTTACAATACAGACGAAGTGAGACAATTTCTCTTTCCAAAGTGTAAACAATACTAATCATGTTCAAGTTGTGAATCGAACATATTATTCCATTAAGATGATGTAAAATGAGAATGTATTTGATTAAATCAATCCTCGTATTTACAACATTTCTTTAAAACTTATTGCTCGTAAACACAATAAATTTGTTTAAGTTCTGTTAATACCATATATTCTAATTTGGCAATTTTAAAATATATGTGTTTTACGTTTTACTAGATTTATCAATTTGACACCCAACTGTGTGTATAAAAAAAAAAGAGTGGAATCTTAGGATGGTTCTTGTAAAGGATTCTTCATAAAAAAATAGTTTATACCAAATGTATGCGGAAGAGTCAAACCTGCCACCTTTTCTCTTTGATGTAAATAAAAGAATGATCGTGTGTGTATTTTAAATAATTGTGTGTAAGAATGAAAAGAAACTTCATTGAAAAGACTTAAAACGTCTGAATGTTTCCTCTTTTGTAAATTATAGGGCGGAAGAACGGATTGACACATCCAGTGCATTTCCGGTAAAACAGTTTTTTCTTGTTTATTATATCAAAATAACATTCCAAGCTTGTTAAATCAATGAAGAGTTTGGATTTCTTTTAAACAAATAATACCAATAAGAAGAGATAGTTGTTAATTAAAATGTTATTTCAGAGAAATTACATTCTTTACCTTTACCTTTTGCTCAGTATTTTAGTATTGATTCATGCACATTCAACCGTTAACTAGGACCGTTTCCTATTCATGACCTTAAGAAAACACGTAGGTTCAAGAAATCAACTTAACACAAAAATACGATACCTGTAACCCGAAAAGTGGACCTTTCTTCTTTAGGGGCAAACTAGGATCATCTCCTATCTATTCCAGAAATGATTTTTTATAAAACAATCTAAAACTATGAACAATAAAATGTACTCGCACAAACTGGAGAGACTTATTTCAGGAAATATTTCAGCATGCACAGAAGGCTTAGTACGTTATATAAAAACGATTTTTTTTGAGCCTCAACACGTCGTTACAGTCTATGTCACCACGTCTGGTCATTCTCCGTCTAATAACTATGCAACTTGAAAATAGCCCTGCATCGTTGTTGCAATTACAAAAACTCTACCGTAAGACTGTTATGTCCAAAGCACACCACTCCACCCTGCTTGTTTTCTATTATCCGTCTAGTATACTAAGAATGAAGGTTTTCAAGCGCCTGTTTCAACAGTCCAATCTCACAGAGAGCCATAGGTGCTGCATACGGCGACTTTTTAAGCAATATGACTTTGTATTGAATAGCATGAAAACCCGTTTTACTCTCTAGTTGTTTGAGCTATGCGACGTTAGTACATCAGGTATGAAGCCTTAACTTGGTGAATCCATATCCCGTTGACTTTATTTACAGAGGGTACTTGGACGGCTTTTGCCATTGACCTTTACAAGACCTGTTATTTGTTACAAGACGCCGCACTTTATTTGCTATAGCTGAGATGTAACTCGTTGTAGATCTATTTCTGGAGGTCCTGGTGCTACAAGTTGATCCATATTTTTTCGTTTTTCAATGTCATTAAGTTCAATGGATATCCCTGTTTTGAAATTTCTAAGCCTCTGATTTAAACATATCTTTATGATCCGAGTATTTTGCGTCGAAAAGGACTGCTACATACATTACAAAAAGCGATCAGTTTTTGGTGGCATCACACTACTTACAAAATAACACACACCGCCAAAATGTAGTTTTGATATATTCCATTTAACCACGACTTTATATATGCTGTGTTTATCATGTGACTTCCTAATGCGCATATTTAAAAATGTTTTTATGAACATTCAACCCTTTGAATTTGTTATTGACTACATTGTCACAATGTTTTTTATCAAAAGCAACACTATTACTACCCGTTTTACAGTATGTTATTCATTTCTATCTATCTGTGTGTGTGTGTTTGAGTAAAAAACTTTTGCATTTTATATGGAAGTAACATGGCTTTCCTTTTCGCTCCCAAATTAAAAACACACAGTGTATTACATTGATTTAATCAGGAACTGACATGTTCAAGTAGGCCTTGTCGAAACGGCGGTGAATGTGTCAACGCCATCTGGTGGTCACCAGGAATATCACGAGAATACCTTTGTATGTGTCGGCCAGAATTCTGTGGAACACGCTGTGAAACAAGTAAGACAGAAAGTTTTATTTTGGGCTTTTAGTTTTATTAAATTTTTCTTAAGTCAAAAATTATTTTTTCCATGTTAGTACAAATCATTTTAACATTAAGTCTGTTTGTTTGTTTTTGAATTTCGCGCAAAGCTACATGAGTGCTATCTGCGCTAGCCATCCCTAATTTAGCAGGTTAAGACTAGAGGGAAGGCAGCTAGTCATCACCACCCACCGCCAACTCTTGTCTTTTTACCAACGAATAGTGGGATTGACCATCACGTAATAACGTCCCAACGGCTGAAAGGGCGAGAATGTTTGGTGGGACGAGGATTCGAACCCGTGACTCGCAGATTGCGAGTCGAGCTCCCTAACCACCTGGCAATACCGGGCCAACATTAAGTCAGTAGTTAGTGTTTGCACACGCACTCCAGCGTTTAATAACTTTGACGTATATACACATCAGTTTTAATTAATACACGATATGTATTTTATTCGTTAATCTAGTTTTTCTTATGATGTCACATAAGTGTTTTAGCATTAAGTAGTTGGTCTTCATGTTCATATGTACAATCACGTGTTGTATTGCCTGTACTAGTATATATATACACATATATACATCACTTTATACAGAGTTCAGTATGTTGTATTAAAAAGATTTTGAATATGTAAATCAGCAAGCCAAATGGTGAAAAATAGCCGATATAAAGTAGTAGTGGAACAGAATGTATCAGAACTACATTTTGGCATCGTTTGTCATTTCCTAGGTTGGGAGAGGTCTGTAACAACTTTTTCCAATGTAAAATATACATACACTAAGATTATAGAGATTTGTTCAGGTCAGAGATTTAGAAATTCCAACAAGGGAATATCCCTTTTACTTTATGCCATTGGAAAACAAAGGAATATGGATCAACTTGGGGATTCAGAACTGTCCAGAAACAGACCTGAACAAGTCGTACTTCAGCCATGGTAACTAAACTGCGGCGTCTTGCAACAGGTGAGAATCCATTAACACAAAAACCAGTGGCAAAAGCCATCCAAGTGTCCCGTAAACAGAACCCAATATAATCAAGAAGGCTATAGGCTATCCGTCTGGAAACGAGGACAAGATAAGACTTTTTGTGACACTTTCCGTTCAACTGTCGCATACCCCAAGCAGCTGTAGAATTAAATGGGTATTTATGGTATTTAATGGTTAATGTGTTTATGTATCCATTCCAGACTTATTCCTGTATTAAGTATATTTTCATAACCATTTCAGAGTAGCATATTTCCACCCTACATTTGATGTGTTTAAGACTACCATCACATCTGTTTAAGTTTGTACATTATAACTTAATGTTTAAGAATGTCTTTCTATATATTTGTGTTTCTGTGTTATTGCATCTTTTTGAACGTATTTCGTAGATATGGCATATTTAGAGTCTGTTACAATGCTATATGTGTATGTTTCAACTTAAAGAATATTTTGCCCCCCAGTGGCACAGCGGTATGTCTGCGGAGTTACAACGCTAGAAACCGGGTTTCGATACCAGTGGTGGATAGAGCACGGATAGCCCATTGTGTAGCTTGTGCTTAACTACAAACAAACAAACAAGAATATTTTAATACATTTATAAGTGTATTTCACCTTTGCGTTATTTATACTGATATGCAAGTCTGACTTTGTTAGGATTAGAAGTTTACCTTAAAAGTGCATTTGTGCAGACGTACTTCTTCACTGTGTTTAAATTTCAACCCCAGCATTACTTTTATATAGACGTATACTTTAGCTATGCTCACATTTCAATCACAGTATTATGTCTGTTTAGTTGCACATTCTAGCTTAATATTGTTACAGATTAATTTAAACATTATTTTCGTTCAGATCTATTTCTATTATTATAATATTTTCACATTCATCCAAGGACTCTGTCTGTTCTTAACTTAATCCTAGAAGTTCTTGTCTACAACTCACTAAAATCATAACTCACACAAAAAACAAACAAACAAGAAAGACCGATAATATTGCAGTTAATCCTATTAATTACTGTTAGTGTCTTTTTAGTAGTTTACATGAGAAATGAGTGGTTTCATTTAATCTTTACTCAACATATGACGCAATTGAACAGTGTGAAGATATGTCGGTAATTTGACAGTTATTATATTTATATTTCTATCCTATTGTTATAAACTGTTCTATCGTTGAATATAGCTTATAACACTAATATTGCATTTGTATAGTCGTATTACTGTATTTACCACTCACTCTAATGGGCCACCCAGTGGCACAACGGAATGTCTTCGGTTTGTTTATTTTTGAAGTTAAGCACAAAGCTACACAATGGGCTATCTGTGCTCTGCCCCACGACGGGTATCGAAACCCGGTTTCTAGCGTTGTAAGTCCGCAGACATACCGCTGTGCCACTGGGAGGAGGGGCGAATGTCTTCGGACTTACAACGCTAGAAATCTGGTTTCGATACTCGTGATGGGCAGAGCAAATATTTCTCATTGCTTCGTTTTGTGTTTAATTACAAACAAACACTGTAATGGTTACTTTTTCGAAACACGTGTTAGATTAATACGTTTAAATTTCTATCGTAGTATCAAGCCTTATACTCAATTCACACCACTCTGACTTTTTTTTTCAGATCAATTTGAACGGTATACTGGCTATCAGCTTGAATGCTTTGAAGAATTTCAGCCTATAGTATCAATAAAAGGATCTTCAAAGCTTCTGTGGGAAAGCTGTCGGCAGGCTTGCGCAGTGTTTCATAAATGTAAATTAATAAATTATGTCATAAAACGTGACGGACAAAGTTTCTGCTCATTATATGAGAAACCACCAAGTACTTGTGATATATATCGTATATTGAAGTGAAAGGAAACGACCTGTATAGCCTTGACATGATGAATGATGAATGTTTTGAGCTGTAGTTTCTTTAATGAAACAAATAAAATATAAAGCTGCTTATTGACTTTGTATTGAAAAATATTAGAAGTTCTCGCTTTACTAAAGTGCAGGGAAGTGCTCTCTACAACACGTATGAGATATACAACAAATTGCATTTCAAAATATTCACAAATACAGAATTTATATGAAACATTCTAAATCCTAAAATGAAACTTTAATTTCTCCAGTCCTCAAGTTATATAGAAATCATCCGAAAGTTGTTTATAGGCTGTATTACTTGAGTCTAATACTTAATTCGCATGAAACATGTGACATTGATAAAATGTGAGCTTGTTTGTTTAAAAACATGCTAAAAATAAATATTAAGTAAAAAAATAGTACACACCACATTGATAAAATGTGAGCTTGTTTCTTTAAAAACATGCTAAAAATAAATATTAAATAAAAAATAATACACACCACATTGATAAAATGTGAGCTTGTTTGTTTAAAAACATGCTAAAAATAAATATTAAATAAAAAAATAGTATACACCACATTGATAAAATGTGAGCTTGTTTCTTTAAAAACATGCTAAAAATAAATATTAAATAAAAAATAGTATACACCACATTGATAAAATGTGAGCTTGTTTCTTTAAAAACATGCTAAAAATAAATATTAAATAAAAAAATAATACACACCACACTTGGAAATTCAGAATACAAAATGCCAGGTTTGACAAGAAAATAAAGAGATTTGTAGTTTTTCATATAGCAAGCGTACGTTGAACCTATGACTAATAATCATACAGACATTAGAAAACAGTCACTTAAGGTCGGCTTAAAATGATCCTATAAATCAGTTAGAAAATAAACGTAAGAATAAGATGTACCATAATAAAAATATCACAAAGACGGACCTAGTTTTGTTCAAGTCATAAATAGTTATCAAAGTAACTTTCTAGGTTAATCAAAGTAACTTTCTAGGTTAATTAATACTCATTAAAATTGTCAGATTTATTCCGAGCAGTTTTTGGGACACGTATCGCGGTAAAATAATGATATTGGAATGACTCACAAGGTTACATTACATGTATTGTTTTATGTCAAAGCGAATTTTTGGTTTAGAACAATAGGTTTTTTCCAGCTCACCATAATAAGTTATTTCTCTGTAAGCATTTCTGAAATTACAAAAATTATAATAATTACATAATGACATAATGAAAAATAGCAAAACCATCTTTTTGGGTATATGATTCGACAATAACTGCTTAATTAGGTACTCATTTAACACTTACTCATCAAGAAATAAAAAATGATTGTCAATATTGAATTATTTTGGACTAGCTAGTTATTCCTTCATATTTTATTTATGAAAATGACGGTTCACAAACTCCACATCAAATCTGCTTAGAAAGGAGATTATTAGAGAACTTCATATAAAAAAATCAGCATTAATTAAACTTGGAAATAAATAACCCCTTCTTATAATTTTTGGTACCTGACGTAACTATTAGTTCAAAATATTCTAGAATTCAGATAATTATCATATATAGCCAATATTTCAGACATAACTCACTTACAAAAAGCATCTAATAGACAGTGGTTTTAAATTGTTCTTAGGGTGAACTTTTTAGACACCAAAGAACATGAAAAACTTGAACAATTTAGATAATATCTTATTTTCTAACCTCAAATAGCTTAAAGTTTCGGAGATTAGTCTTCTGAAATCTTAAGCCATTTGAAATGAGAAAATATGATATCATCTTGGAATCGTCATCTTTACTCTGAAAACTACGCATTTATGTTAAATACTAGCAATAAGTATTGCGTATTTGATGATGTTTGCCCGAGAAATTTCATACGGTATAAGAATATGTGCTTGCTTACTTTACACTTAAGGAACTAAAAAACTGTAGTGTTACTATTATTAATATAACATGCACAAATATTCATTAGATGTAATTAAGCTCTATGATACCTATAAATGTGAGCAATGGCATGAATCTATTTGTTTGTCATTGTTACTATCTGCTGTATGAAATTGTTTGTTTGTTTGTTTTTTGGAATTTCG